GTTTGAGGAAATGGAGCGACATCCAGTCAGAGATGTCGTTTAGGAGGTGAGTGATGCGGGCGGAGAATGTGGGGGTGAGGTGAGGGGTGGATAGGTAGATTTGAGTATCATCAGCATAGAGGTGGTAGTTGAAGCAATTAGTGTCAATGAGTTTATTAGCTCTCACATGGATGCTCTGGGCAGGCTAGATACTGAGCCATGGGGAGCACAAAAGACCTATTTAACAAGGTAAAGATGGAAAAGGATATAAAAAGATGCCCAAAGCTTTGAATATGGCAGTCAGTACTGTTCAATCACTTATTAAGAAGTGGAGCATTCGGGGATCTCTTGATACTAATTCAAGTACAAGTAGACGAAGAAAGATTGCAGCCATAGCTGCCAGAAGAATTGTTTGGGATACAAAGAAAAACCCACAGGTAACCTTAGGAGAAATACAGGCTGCTCCGGAAAAAGACGGTGTGATTGTTTTGAAGGAGCACAATACAACGATTCTTGAATAAAAAGCTGCATGGTCGAATTGCTAAAAAGAAGCCTTTGCTGCTCCAATGCCACAAAAAAAGCCTGGTTACAATATGCTGGACAACACCTTGACACGCCTCAACAAGCTTTTTTGGTTTGGCCCCATGGTGTGGCTTTTTGTACTCTATATGAAACTTTAATAAATGGAAATTTAAAAGTGCATCACACGGAGTTGCTGACCTTTTCATTTGGCTATTTATCTACAGTTTGTGTGGCTGCAGTCTAGGCACATGTGGACCTCTGTGTTGTGACTGTTGGATGGGTTGCAGCACCACACCAGCATTATGTTCCTATGGAAACCACAGCCCTGGACCTGTAAAGCACCGTGGCCACTCCAGGCATTGACATACGTGCCAATGGGGACACCCACAGCAGAATCCAGTGCATGTTAGCAACATTACAGGCTGGCACCATGTCTTCCATCTGGCAGGGTCTGGATATGGTTCACCAAGGAGCCAACCAATCAGAAAGCTGCATAAAATGCTACAGCAACTATCGCAAAGCTAAGATATTAATAGAAGAATCAGTTTGGAATAATCTTCCAGAGAGAGAAAGGTAAGCTTCTATCAGTAAAGCGAAGAGGTCTATCACCTAAGGACACTAGTAAAAAAAACTAAGGTTACTTGGAAGTGGGAGGAGTTATATGGGGGTTGTCCCAGTAACTTTTTCGTGAGTGTCCAATCACCACACAGACAGAGGTTTGTTCCTTGCTGTCTCTCACAGAGCACTGGAGACTTCACAGGTAGCAGCTGGACACCCTGGTGGACAAAAATGGGGAGAGAGCAAAGAGGGTTGTCCATAAGTGTCAGATGTTCAAAACTACGTTAAATATTACATTACATACAGTGCTGTGAAAAAGTATTTTCTCCTTCCCAATATTTTCTTTTTTTTGCATATTTGTCACACTTGATTCAGATCAAACTAAATTTAATATTACACAACGATACGAAATGCAGGTTTTAAATGATGATTTCATTTATTAAGGGAAAAAAACTGTCCAAACCTGCCTGGCCCTTTGTGAAAAAGTAATTGACACCCCCCTTGCTAAATCATGAACTGTGATTAACCATATATTTTGGAAAGCTGAGTTAAATTTCATTTGCTACATTGAGGCCTGAATACTGCCAAAGCTGTTGAATCAAGAAATCACTTAAATATAACCTGTCTGACAAAGTGAAGCATGCTAAAAGATCTCAAAAAGCAACACATCATGCCACTATCTAAAAAAATTCAAGAACAGATGAGACACAAGTAGTTGATATGTGTCAGTCTGGAAAGGGTTACAAAGCCAGTTCTAAGGCTTTGGAACTCCAGCAATCCATGATGAGAAAACAAATGGAGAAAACTTGGAACAGTGGTGAATCTTCCCAGGAGTGGACGACCTACCAAAATAACGCCAAGAGGACAATGACGACTTATCCAGGAGGTCATAAAAGAACCCAAAACAGCATCTAAAGAACTGCAGGACTCACTTACCTTAGTTAAGGTAAGTGTTCATGATTCAGCCGTAAGAAAGAGACTGGGCAAAAATGGCATCCATGGGAGAGTCCCAAGACCATGGCCACTGCTGACCAAAAAGAACACAAAGGCTAGTCCCACATTTGCCAAAAACATCTTGATTATCCCCAAGACATTTGGGCAAATATTCTGAGACAAAAGTTGAACTTTTTGGAAGATGTGTGTCCCGTTAAATCTGGCGTAAAACTAAGACAGCATTTCATAAAAAGGAGCATCATACCAACAGTATGGTGGGAGTAGTGTGATGTGATGGTCTGGGGCTGCTTTGTAGCTTCAGCACCTGGACAACTTGCTATAATTGATGGAACCGTGAATTCTGCCCTTTACCAGAAAATCCTGAATCCTGTCCAGCCATCAGTTTGTGATCTGAAGCTTAAGCACACTTGGGTTATGCAGCAGGACAATGATCCAAAACACATCAGGAAGTCCACCTCTGAATGGTTTAAAAAAAAAATGTAGGTTTTGGGGTGACCTAGTCAAAGTCTGGACTTAAAGTGATTCTAAAGATTTAGTTTTTTTTTTTTTTTTTTTTAGAAAATAACAAACATGTCTATATTTATCTACTGTGTGCGGTGGTTTTGCACAGAGCAGCCCGGATCCTCCTCTTCTTGGGTCCCCCTCAGGCTCTCTTGGCTCCTCCTGTATGTCAGGTGCCCCCACAGCAAGCAGCTTGCTATGGGGGCACGTGCTGCTCTGTGTGTCCATTTACACATGGAGCCACGGCTTGGCCCTGCCCCCTCTGTCTCCTAATTAGCTGACTGGCTGTGATTGACAGCAACGAGAGCCAGTGAGGAGGCAGAGACCTGGGACCGCCGAGGCTGTCATTCACACTGGATCACAATGAGGCTCAGGTACGTATTGGGGGGGGGGGGGGGGGGCTGGGGTCGCTGCTACACACAAAGTTTTTTACCTTCATTCATAGAATGCATGACTATTGGACGTGCAGAATACCGAGGCTAATACTTACCCCTAATCCATAAAACCACCACCACCCTTCAAAAACCTTCCCCACCCAAATAAACACGCGACTCTCTTTCTGGTGTAAAAACCGGCCATAGCAGCCATTTATTTACCATAACTCAAACATAACATTTCTTACAGTAAACTTAATTGATACCTGACAGTATGATCCCAAACCGGGTCCAAGGTCTTCGAAGGCACCATTACCCCCATCACAAACACGGCTGTATCTGACACCCAATGAAAGGCCCCCAGCCGCTACTACACCGCTTCGGGGACAATACTACAGTTACTTAGTCCCAGATACAGCCAATGAACTCCCACATTACCAACATGACCTTATAATTGGGAAGGGACACCCATACCTACGATGGGCCCAACCCATAATTCACCAACTTGTCACTCCAACACCGCCTTCAAAGACCCATCGACCCCTGCCGACTGCCATGACAAAACAGACAAACACTTCGGGACACAAACAGCTGTCCTGAACAATAAACAAACACAATGAACCCACATAAAACAAACACCACGAACAACCAAACCAAACAGAAAAACCAACACCAGGACAAACACAAGGACAAATCATAACCAACACATCAAACAGAATACAAAAACCAACTCCAGGGAGGGAGGGCGGGAGGAACCACCTCCGTGATGGCACAAGCTCCGACTGACTCCGACAAGACCCAACCCCCCTTTTCAAATCCTGCAAGACCACCCCTCAATGATGCGTACTCCAATCAAGTAAGTAACCATCCCCCCCTTTCCTCTTGCTTAGACTCCCACCTAAATTACACTCTCCGCCTCATCTGCACGCCCCAGTCATGCTGGCCCTCCCTTTTAGCTTCGCTCAGTCCAGGCCTTGACTTGAAGGTAAAAAAACCTTCAGCCATTACAACCACTTTAAATCCAGTTGAGATGCTGTGGCATGACCTTAAACAGACCGTTCATGCTCGAAAAACCCTCCAAAGTTGCTGAATTAAAACAATTCTGCAAAGAAGTGTGGGCCAAAATGAATCCACAGTGATGTGAAAGACTGCCAGTTCTCGCAAATGCTTGATTGCAGTTGTTGCTGCCATGGGTGGCACAACCAGTTATTAGATTTAGAGGGCAATTACTGTTTCACATAGGGCCAGGCAGGTTTGGACAGCTTTTTTTTCCTTTAATAAATGAAATCGTCATTTAAAAACTGCACTTTGTACTCACTCGGGTTATCTTTGTGTAATATTAAAATTTGATGATCTGAATCATTTAAATGTGACAAATTTCCAAAAAAAAAAAAAAAAAAAAAAAATCAGGAAGGGGACAAATACTTGTTTATAACACCGTACATTGCTGACAAATGGCCTAATGAATTGCTGTCCAAGGACAGCATCTGTTTACTCCCATACAATTGTTTCTGAAGCTGCCTGTGCTAGTCAAGCATTGACTTTCGAATGCATTGAAACTTTGAATATCATAGTCCAACTGAGAATTTTCATTGCTGGGGAGGGGAATGGAAATTAGGCTTTATTTTCTTTTTGATAACAGCCATTCTCTCGTACATATCATAGACTATTGCTGTATTGCCATTCTGCTCTACTGATAAGTATGTGCATTTAATTTACCAGTTAAATATATGCAGTAAGCGTCAGTGTAATCCTTGTAAGTAATGTTTTAATCCCTTCATGACTGAGGGCATTTTATGCCACCGAAGTCATTCCAGTCTGAAGGCTTTTTTGAGAAGTACTCAAGTGTAATGTGGTAGTCTGATTCCCTCGGGAAGTCCAATGACAGGCAGGGGATCGCACTCCAGGTTTGATAGAGCGCCACAGATCTGACTTGGACTGTGATGTAATTGTGATAATAATTGCTCCCCTTTTTTAATGAATCATGATTTTATTTCGATTTACCAAGTACCAGAGGGTAACACTAATTAAACTGTATCTCTGCGCAAAATAAATGAAAAAAAAAAAACACATTCAGCATAACTCTGTAATACTTAAAGTGTTACTAAACCTGGACCCTGCATTCACTATATCCGGTCTCCCCGGACCCTGCATTCACTATATCCGGTCTCCCCAGACCCTGCATTCACTATATCCGCTCTCCCCGGACCCTGCATTCACTATATCCGGTCTCCCCGGACCCTGCATTCACTATATCCGGTCTCCCCGGACCCTGCATTCACTATATCCGGTCTCCCCGGACCCTGCACCCTGCACTCACTATATCCGGTCTCCCCAGACCCTGCATTCACTACATCTGGTCTCCCCGGACCCTGCACTCACTATATCTGGTTTCCCCGGACCCTGCATTCACTACATCTGGTTTCCCCGGACCCTGCATTCACTATATCTGGTCTCCCCGGACCCTGCATTCACTACATCTGGTCTCCCTGGACCCTGCATTCACTATATCTGGTCTCCCCAGACCCTGCATTCACTATATCTGATCTCCCACAGTACACAGAACATAGAAATGCAATTATTTAATAAATATAAACTGTGACTTATATTAGTGTCCAGCTGAGCACTGGTTAAAGCTTGTAGAAGGAGCTTTCATTCTGCTCTGACTGTCCTATGAGGTTGCATGACCCCTGACCCTCTGTTTAGACAGTGCTGATTGGCCTTTTGCCCATCGCATGTACCCTCCTAAAGGAAAAAAAAAAACTCTCTAGCCATACATGCTAAACTGAGCATGTGCAGAGTGACTCCTAGAGCTCTGTACTATCAGCAGATGGATTGGGGACAGTAAGAGAAGGGGAGAATCATAGAAGACAGGATCAAACAACCTTTTTACACAGTGAGGATTAACCCTTTAGGTTCCACAGTGAGTATAACAAGCATGTTTGACTTCATATATAGACTGATTTTTACTGTTGTGGGTTTAGTAACACTTTAAAACTTTCTCTTTTTTTTGCTTGCAACGCATTGCCCATGCTGCACTTAAATGTTAGGCAGAGTTCTTTCTTTCTGAACTATAGACAGGGTCATGGATAAGGGGGTACCACCAGTCCTCCTGTACAGGGCCCAGGCCAACAGTGGGGCCCAGGCATCTGGGTCAATCAGATGTGGGCAGGGAGGGTAATAGACATGTTGGGGGGGGGGGGAATACTGGAACAGATCCCCTGTATGGCTCTTTCTACAGCAGCTGAAAGCTGGACATTTCTTCTCTCCCTCCCTGTGGCTTTCAGCTGCTGCAGAGAAAGCCATACAGGGGATCAGTTCCAGAAATTTCTCCGCCCCCCACTGCATCCATCACTGTGCACCATATGTTTCCCCCTGCTGTCCAGGCCCCCTCTGTGCCCCCACCCCTGCAGTGCTGCCACCTTCCCTGGGAAGGGTCTGGTAAATAGGTCACATTTACCAGCCCCTTCCTTTCCTGAATGAACACAATGAGTGATTGGTACCAATCACTCCCTGTGTTCATTCATAACTGAAGCATAGTAATGTGTGTATTTTTGGGAGGGGGGGCAGAGGCCCCTGCCAGGTTGGCTTATGGGGCCCTGTGGTTTCTAACAGCAGCCCTGACTATAGAACACCCCCCACTTATGTTGTGGAGATGAGAAGAGGGGCACTGGTAATAACTAGTTGTGCCAGTAGTGGAGGAAATGCTCACATACACTCAGTGGCTAATTTATAATATACACAGTGTTTTTTTTTTCCACAGAAACTAGGAGCAGGTACTCCTCTCTTCTGAGTCACCTCTGGTCTCTGTACGCCAGGAACAATAGATTCCCCCAGCAACAATAGATCAACAAAATGCTCTGCAACATACAATAGACACAGCAACAATAGATCCCGCCAGTAAAAATACAATAGATCTCCCAGCATCAATATATCTTCCAGCAGTCAGCAACAGTTGATCCTAGCAACATAAGATCCCCCATCAGCATGAATAGCCCCCCACCAACAACAGATCTGCCCAGCAACCACAGAAAAAAATTACCAGTAACAATACAGTAGATCTTCAGCTGCCAGTATCAATAAACCCCCCATCACCCCATTCAGTGCTGGAGGTGCCAGAACTGCCTCCCCCCACCTTCCCTTGTGTACACATGCCTAGTACCCATAAAGTTGAAGCAGATATATTCAAATGATGTTCATGTGGTGTTTATTGGATGTAATGTGTGCCAAGCAATCATCAACCACACCATTACACCACCACCAGTCAGAACCACTGACATAGATCCATGGTCTTAAAATATGTACACAAAATTAATTTGCACAGCAGAGGTTGGGATTTGTCAGGCAATATTTTCCAGTCCTCGGTTGATACTCTGCTCATTGTAGTCTCTTTTATTCAACTCTTAGCTGACCATTGGGGAACTCAGTGTGGATCTCTACTGCTGTAGTTCTTACTATTCAAGGTTCATCATGCCCAACATGTAGGCTTTAGGGACCAAGGGGCGGAGAAACGGCACACATAGCCGTTGAAATTGCAGAAATTGTATCAAATATGTTCCAGCATACAGTAACAGCAGGGGCGGACTGACAACTCATGGGGTCCCCGGGCAATAGGGGATCATGGGGCCCCTGTGTCCTTGCCCAAACTCAAAAAAGCCTATGAAAAAGGTACCAGGGGCATATCATGGGGCCCCCTACTGACCCCGGGCCCTCGGGCAGTGCCCTAGTTTCCAAATGGTCAGTCCGCCCCTGAGTAACAGAGTCTATGCAGTGGCTTAGAACTGGCAGCATCACTCTCAGAAGGTTACACAGTGTTTGCAGAGGGCAATGCACAGAGACCGACAGCACCTGGTACAGAGGGGGTGCTGGCTGGAAGGCAGATGCAGCAGGACCAGTAGTAAAAAGGTTCCCCCCTTAGAAGCTCTGATGACAGTCCCTATACTGTCCCTCCTTCCCCTCTTTAACCCCTCCCTATACTCCCTATTAAGCGTGTTCCTGTTCTTAACCTAGCCACACGCAGAATGCACGCCAACAGCAGTGGGACAATGCCTTTATAAGCACTGTCCTTACTAAAGGTGGCAACAGGGGTCACCCGGGTGGCAGAGTCCAATCAGACAGCAAGCCACCCGATGACACATACAAAAGGCCGTTCCTCCTGTCCTCCGCTCTCCTTGCAGGGTGGTTGCAACAGCACCACCTGTGCAGGAAGGTCAATGTACACCTGCATACAAACATTGTGGGCGTTCAGAGATGCCATTCTGAAATCCATTCTTGTAAAGCAGGGGTCTCCAAACTTTCCAAATAAAGGGCCAGTTTATTGTCCTTCAGACTTTATTGTGGCCAGAAGGGGGGTAGAAAAAGTCTCAGGGCCCAACATTAGTGAGAGTAAATAAGGTCTCAGGTGTGGTGTTCAGTTGCATAGTGCCTGCGGTCAGTAGGAGGAGGAGTAGTGCCCCATCATTGCTATCACTGGGATATTGGGCCATCATCGATGCTAGTGGATGGAATAGGGCCCCATCATTGATATCAGTGGGAAGAATAGTGTCCCATTGCTGGTGTCAGTTGGGGGAATTATGCCCCACTTTTGGTGTCAGTGTTAGGAATAGTGCACCAAGGGCTGGATAAAGGCTAGCAAAGGGACCGCAGTTTGGAGATCTCTGATGTAAAGAGTTGTTGAGGTTGCCAGCATCCTTTCATCTTGAACAAATCTCGCCATTCCCTCCTACCTTTCTTAATCACAATAGGTTTTCAAATACAAAACTACAGCTTGCTGGATGTTCTTTGCATCATTCTTTGTAAACCGTAGAGATTGCAGAATGTGAAGAGCAGTTTCTGGAAAGCTGCAACCACCATGTCTGGCACCAACAATTATTCCACAGTCAAGATTACTTAGATTGCACATCTTCCACATCTTTATGTTTGGTTGAACAACAAAATGTCTTGATTATGTCTCCATAGTTTATGTACCGATTTCCAGATACCTGATTTTCCATTTGGCAAGTGAGTAGTTGTACCTAATAGAATGGTCCCTGACTGTGCACATATTTATGGATAAGTCACACTGTAGGGTCCAGCTTAGAGACTTGTTTCTATATATCTGTAGCCCACAACCAGCTTTTCAACCCACGTTGTACACACAAGCCAAAAGACCCATTTTTTCTTGTTGCCAAATAATTTGTCAATCTGTTTTTTTTCCCCCACTCAGGTCATGTGTTGCTCCACCCAGGGCCGGACTGACCATTTGGAAACTCGGGCACTGCCCGAGGGCCCAGGGTCAGTAGGGGGCCACATGAGATGCCCCTGGTACCTTTTTCATAGGCTTTTTTGAGTTTGGGCAAGGACACAGGGGCCCCATGATCCCCTTTTGCCCGGGGGCCCCATGAGTTGTCAGTCCGCCCCTGGCTCCACCATTTCGCTTAGATATCTGTTTCTCTTTAGTGATGATTATCTGTCCTGGTCTGGAGCATTAGGTTGATACTCCGTACTCTCCTCTTGGTCGTGGCAATTTCCATATTTAATTTGGCCTTTCTGTCATCTGGCCTTGATTCAGACATTGATTCCTTCAGATACTCTATGTAATATACACTCACTGGTCACTTTATCAAGTACACATGTTCAAATGCTTGATAACACAAATTGCTAATCAGCCAATCACATGGCAGCAACTCAATGCATTTAGGCATCTAGACATGGTGAAGACAAACTTGCTGAAGTTCAAACCGAGCATAAGAATGGGAAGAAATGGGATCTAAGTGACTTTGATCGTGGCATATTTATTGGTGCCAGACGGGCTGGTCTGAGTATTTTCAAAAACTGCTGATCTACTATTTTCATGCACAACCATCTCTAGGGTTTACAGAGAATGGTCCGAAAAAGAGAAAATATCCAAATGAGTGGCAGCTGTGTCTATGAAAAAGCCTTGATGTCAGAGGAGAATGGGCAGACTGAAGATGATAGAAAGACAATAATAACTCGTGTCAATATGGACCAAAATCTCTGAGGAATGTTTCCAACACCTTGTTGAATCTCTGCCACGAAGAATTAAGGCAGTTCTGAAGTCCAACTTGGTACTAGCAAGGTGTACCTAATAAAGTGGCTGGTGAGTGTAATGTCCACATTTGTTGGATATCTCAGTGGCTGTTGGAGTACTGTTGGACATCTCAACTGTTTAGGAATTCCCACATTAATGTGTCCCTCAAAAGATTATAAAGAAAATAAGATTTGTACTTACCATAATTATTTTTTTTTTTTACGTCCAATGAAGAACACAGGTCCTGTCCCTCTGTGTTACTGGCTGTTTATACTGCTTGTTAGAAAAAAAAAAATGGGGGTAAAGGTTTAGAGACAAAGTTACACAGGGACTGGCTTAACCATTTCAGTCCCAGGCCAATTCTGACTCTTCTCACATACATGTAAAAATCAGCATTTTTTTTTTTTTGCTAGAAAATTACTTAGAATCCCAAACATTATATATATATTTAATTTATTTATTTTTTAATTTATGTATTTATTTTTAAGCAGAGGCACTAAAGAAAAAAAAAACAGTTTTTTGGGAAAAAATACACAAGAGCACAATATAATACCCAATTGTTTGGTAAAAAATAAAAGATGAAGTTACGCATAGTATATAGATAACCAACATGTCACAATTTAAAATTGCACATTTTTGTGGAATAGGGAAAAACTATGGTACTTAAAATTCTCTTTTTTTAATTTCATCGTTTACTTATTTACATTTTTTTATTTTTACACTGTTGCTTTAATCTATTTTTTTTTTTTCACTTTGGTGCCTGTCACAAGGGAAGAACATCATCCCTTGCGATAGCTGGAGCAGTGATAGGACCTCTTTATGGATTGATCTGGGGTCTATTAGACCCCAAATCTATCCTCTGCTTTTAAATGCATCTGATTAACCACTTGCCCTCCAGAGGATTTACCCCCTTTCCTGACCAGGCCATTTTTTTGCGATACAGCGCTGCTTTATTTTAACTGTCAATTGCATGGTCATGCAACGATGTACATAAATGAAATTTATGTAATTGTTTTTCCACAAATAGAGCTTTCTTTCAGTGGTACTTGATCACCTTTGCGGTTTTTATTTTTTGCGCTATAAGCAAAAAAAGACTGGCAATTTTAAAGAAAAAAATGTGGGGCTTTTTGCTATAAAGCATATCCAATAAAATTTAAAAATCAATTTTCTTCATAAATTTAGGCCAAAATTTATTCTACTCCCTGTCTTTGCTAAAAAACAAAATCCCAATAATTGTATATTAATTGGCTTACGTGAAAGTTATATCATCTACAAATGGCGGTAAATAGGCTGGAATTGTTATTTTTATACTAGTAATGGCAGCGATCAGCGACTTGTAGCTGGACTGCGTAGGGCATTCTGACACTGGGGGGAACTAACTGCCACTGACACTAATACAGTGATCAGTGGTAACAAAAAGCACTGACACTGTACTAATGACACTGGGCAGGAAGGGGTTAACCTCTGGGGCGATGCTGTGAAGAGATACAAAGCAGCATGTCCATGCTGACATGAGAGAGACCTGTGTTGTTTACACACAGGTCTCTCCCCTGTCAGCTTTGCCAACGATCACCCCCGCGCACCCCCTACCTGAAAATGCAAAATCATATATATATATATATATATATATATATATATATGTGTGTGTGTGTATGATTTTGTGCAGCCGTGCCGCCCTGTAGCAGTACTTCTGCTACAGGGCTGATGGCAAGCAGTTATACCAAGATTGGTTTGATAAGATGCTTTCACAACATCCTGGTCCTCGTTCATCTCTATGGTCAGCCAGCGGAACCGCCAGCTCCAGTCCTGGGCTCCCTGGTGGGACAGGAGAGCCCAGAAAAGCAGTGGAAAATGGTGGGGGTTGGGGACCCCTCCACTGCCTATGAGAGCAATCCAGCGGCTAATTAGCTGCTAGGATAGCTTTTACATTAAAGCCCATCTCCGGCTGAACAAAAAAAAAAAAAGATTCCGGGATGATGCCTGTAGCTGCAGGCATCATCCCAGTATAATCCCTTAAACCAGGGGTGTCAAACTGGTGGCCCTCCAGCTGTTGCGAAAGTCCCATCATGCCTCTGCCTTTCAGAGTCATGCTTGTAACTGTCAATCGTGCAATGCCTCATGGCCATCGTCAGTATTTGATTAAGTGCAGCTCTAAGTACCAAAACTAAAGTGAAGAAAAAACACCTCTGAAAAGTGAAGATACCATCAGTACAGTTCCCCTATCCCACCTACAGTCACATACATAAAGCTTGACCTGCTCAGTGCATAAAGTGTAAGTTCACCTTCAGCAAGATTTTGAAAAAAAAGCCCCCTTTGCAATGTGATATCTTCTGAATAGTACATACGTACCAGCGCTCCTCCTCACATTACAAATGCAGCTGTTGGGGGCCCCTCGATCCCCCTCCATCCTGCCATTTGCAGGAGGGACTGGACATTACAGCTAAGCACCCTCTATTGGTTGCTCTGGGCTGTTAAAACTGTGTGAGTGCGCCGTGCGCATGTGTTCTCCTTCTCCAGCTAAGCTCATTCCTTCTCTAGCTGGTCTTAGAAGAGCTATACAAGATATGGATTTGCATGGAGGGGGGGCTGTTGGAAAATCTTGCTGAAAGTACAATTACACTTTGACTCTATGGGCCACCTGCATGCCCCTGACCAGGGGCAGACTGACAACTCATGGGGCCCCCGGACAATAGGGGATCATGGGGCCCCTATGTCCTTGCCTACACTCAAAAAAAGCCTATAAAAAAGGTACCAGGGGCATTTCATGGGGCCCCCTACTGACCCCAGGCCCTCGGGCAGTGCCCGAGTGCGCGAATGGTCAGTCCGCCCTTGCACCTGACATACAGGGGCTGCTTTTTTCGGAAGTACAGGGACTTTATCTGTGTGTCACGGGGTACGGCCACATATATGTGAACCGGGGCTTAGTCCTAATCAAAAAAAAAAAATTTAATCATTAACCAGCCGCATTAAAGCAGAAATACTGCTACAGGGCAGCAGGGGTGCGCAAAATTACGTATATATATACGTGATTTTGCATTTCTGGATAGGGGCTCTCCCTACCCGTGCCGACATTCACGGCCTCGGCTGTCAATAACCGGGTCCCAGACAGTGATTACTCGCCGAGTATTATCGACAAGGGAGAGAACTGTATGTATACAATACAGTTCTTACCCGTCAACTCCTGCACACTGCTTTGTATGGCTCTGCATAGCAGAGCCTTACAAAGCAGTGTGCATACAGTGGAAAGCACTGACGAGTATTATTGACAAGGGAGAGAACTGTATGTATACAATACAGTTCTTACCCGTCAACTCCTGCACACTTTGTATGGCTCTGCATAGCAGAGCCTTACAAAGCAGTGTGCATACAGTGGAAAGCACAGACACAGCCTCATAAAACATTAACCCTGTGATTGCCCCAGATATTAACCCCTTCCTGCCCAGTCTCATTAGTACAGTGTCAGTGCTTTTTATTAGTACTGATCACCGTACTGGTGTCACTGGGGATGTCAGTGACACCAAGTCAGTTCCCCCCCGGTGTCAGAACGCCCACCACAGCCCCACTATAAGTCGCTGATTGTCACCATTACTAGTCTAAAAAAAAAAAAACCTGTCACGTAAACCAATTAATTTACATGTATCAGGATTTATATTTAGCAAAGACATGTCGCAGAATACATTTCAGCCTAAATTTATGATGAAATTTGATTTTTTACGTTTTTTTATTGGACATGTTTAATAGCAAAAAAGTCAAAAATATTTTGTTTTCTCAAAATTGTCAGTTTTTTTTGTTTATAGCGCAAAAAAATAAAAACCGCACAGGCGATCAAATACCACCGAAAGAAAGTTCTATTTGTGGGAAAAAAAGGACATAAAATTTCATTTGGGTGCAGCGTTGCATGACCGCGCAATTGTTAAAGTAAAACAGCGCTGTATTGCAAACAAAATGGCCTGGTCAGGAAGGGGGGGGGGGGGGGAATCCTCAGGCGGGCAAGTGGTTACAGAGACGGATATGTAATCTGATTCTAACTTTTCTGCATTTCTTGTTATTCTTTGCTGGCAAACGTGACAAAAACACCCTACCGGTAGCTGTCTGTGCATATTGGAATGATGGCCTCATCTAAAGCGATTGTCCTGGAGCAATGTGCAAGAAACAAAGGATACGTGGACAGGGACCTCGGCGGTGCTCACCCTCAGGACGGTTGCTGTTTGCTGGAAGGACCAGAAAGAATTGAGTCTTCCATTAACATGAAAAGTGTCTGCAAAAATATTTCATGGCCTGGGATCGATGTGATCTATTCCAGAGATGCTGGGAGGTAATACAATCTAAAGTGTGTGTGTGTGCGTGCGTGTGCGTGGTTTAGATTTATGCAGGCCATACATTATTATTATACAGTATTTATAAAGCGCCAATGGTTCGCTCAGCGCTGTACATTACAAAGGGGGACAGAACATGTGACAGAACAATACCAATACAATGCAAAACATGAGGGGATCGAGGGCCCTGCTCCTTGGAGCTTACAATCTAGGAGGGAGGGGATGGTGGCACAGGAGGAGATAGCTGTGGGGGATGGAGTGGTAGGAAGAGTGGAGGAGGTCGGCAAATTAGCAGGGGGTGGGGTAGGCTTCCCTGAAGAGGTGGGTTTTCAGGGTGCGCCTAAAGGAGAGGAGAGTAGGTGATAATCTGATGGGTTGGGGAAGGGAGTTCCAGAGGATGGGTGACACCCTGGAGAAGTCCTGGAGGCAGGCATGGGAGGAGGAGACCAGGGAACTAGAGAGAAGGAGGTCTTGTGAGGAGCGGAGTGTGCGTGCTGGGTGGTACTTGGATATTAGGTCAGTGATGTAGTTCGGGGCAGTATGGTGGACGGCTTTGTACGTCAGTGTTAGGATTTTGAATTTGATCCGTTGCGCAATCGGAAGCCAGTGGAGGGATTGGCAGAAGGGGGTGGTGGCGGAGATGGAGCGGTTGGAAAGGTGAATGAGTCTGGCAGCCGTATTCAGGATGGACTGAAGCGGGGATAGCCAGCGGCGAGGCAGGCCAGTGAGGAGGGAGTTGCAGTAGTCGAGTCGTGATATGATGAGGGAGTGGATGAGCTGTTTAGTGGTTTCTGGGGTTAGGAACGTGCGGATTTTGGCGATGTTGCGGAGGTGGAGTCTGCACGAGCTTGTTAAAGATTGGACTTGGGGCTGGAAGGATAGGTTGGAGTCCAGAATGACACCAAGTACTCTGGCCTGCACATACATGGGTCGAATTCCAAACAATTTTTCGTTCGAAAATTGAAAATGTTGTTCGCTCGGTAATCCAATGGCTCCATCAATGATTTCGAAACTCGAACGACCGAGTCATAAAGTTCACCCCATATAACAGGCGAAACTTCTGTTCCTTCCAGGTCATGGCTCATGCGCATATTCTTTAAACATATTCCACAATGTGTATAGGGAAAAAGTAGCGCAAACACCTTGCAATGCCAAACTAATAATAATAAGAGCTTTGTGTATATCATGAGAGGAACCTCAGTAACCTCTCACAACACACCCATACTCATACTTTAGCAAGAACATAAAAAATACATCAATATGTAATAAAATATATAAAAATATAAATAAATAAATAAAATTTAACACATGAAACTATAATTGTGTGTTAGTTCTAATAAAAAATAAAGTCCACATCCAAGAAGTAAATAAAATAATAAACTAAAATAGAAAGTCCCGTGATGAGAAAAAATTGTGCTCAAACAAGAATCCTTCCGTGCTCTCTGTGTATCCCCCACTCAGGTGTACACTCACCAAATGAATCATAAATGCAAGCAGGAAGGAATAATTCCAATGATGTGTGCTGAGTGGTCATCCACAAATATATCTCTATGAGTTGCCCAAACGATTTAATCCTCCATATATTAGCTATTCCACTTTCCACCGTATCATGTAAAGGAAGCAAAAACAAAAACCACTCCAATGGTATATTACCCAATGAATAGGCGTTTATTGCTTAAAAAATTGCACTTATAATGCAGCATTAAAAGACAAGCCCATATGATAATAGTGAAGGGTTAGTTGGAACCTCATGGTGCTCTCACCACCATCGGATGATCCAGCAAATGCCACCACGTCACTTCTGGTATACGGACTACGTCACATCCGGCCAGCTGCACCGTCTCACCCTGACACGTTTCGTCATATCCTGACTTAATCGTAGGGATCCCTATGATTAAGTCAAGATATGACGAAACGCGTCAGGGTGTGACGGTGTGGCTGACCGGATGTGTGATGTAGTCCGTATACTGGAAGTGACGTGGTGGCGTTTGCGTTTGCTGACATCCCCAGTGACACCAATACAGTAGTCAGTGCTAATAAAAAAGCACTGACACTGTACTAATGACATTGGGCAGGAAGAGGTTAACATCTGGGTCGATGAAAGGGTTAACTGTGTGCTGTGTATGTGCTTTCCACTGTAAGCACAATTCTTTATATGGCTGTGCTATGCAGAGCCATACAAAGCAGTGTGCAGGAGCTGACAGAGGAGAGATCTGTATTGTTTACATACAGGTCTCTCCGCTGTCGGTAATACTTGGAGATTGCTGGGTGCTGCTGGGGAATCACAGGCTGGGACCTGGTGATTGATAGCCAAGGCCGCAATTGGAGGCACGTGCCTCCCTACCCGGAGCTGCAAAATCATATATACAGTGGGGATCGAAAGTTTGGGCACCCCAGCTAAAAATTTGTATTAATGTGCATAAAGAAGCCAAGGAAAGATGGAAAAATCTCCAAAAGGCATCAAATTACAGATTAGACATTCTTATAATATGTCAACAAAAGTTAGATTTTTTTTCCATCATTTACACTTTCAAAATAACAGAAAACAAAAAAATGACGTCTGCAAAAGTTTGGGCACCCTGCAGAGTTAATATCTTGTACTGCCCCCTTTGGCAAGTATCACAGCTTGTAAACGCTTTTTGTAGCCAGCCAAGAGTCTTTCAATTCTTGTTTGAGGTATCTTTGCCCATTCTTCCTTACAAAAGTCTTCCAGTTCTTTGAGATTTGTGGGCTGTCTGTCACGCACTGCTCTTTTAAGGTCTATCCATAGATTTTCAATTATGTTGAGGTCAGGAGATTGTAAAGGCCATGGCAAAACCTTCAGTTTACGCCTCTTGATGTAATCCCCCGTGGATTTCGAGGTTTGTTTAGGATCATTATCCATTTGTAGAAGCCATCCTCTCTTTAACTTCAGCTTTTTCACAGATGGCATCAAGTTACCATCCAAAATTTGCTGAAATTTTATTGAATCCATTTTTCCTTCTACTCGTGAGATGTTCCCTGTGCCACTGGCTGCAACACAACCCCAAAGCATGATTGATCCAACCCCATGCTTAACAGTTGGACAGAGGTTCTTTTCATTAAATTCTGTGCCCCTTCTTCTCCAAACGTACCTTTGCTCATTCCGGCCAAAAAGTTCAATTTTAACCTCATCGGTCCACAGAACTTGTTTCCAAAATGCATCAGGCTTGTCTATATGTTCATTTGCAAATTTCAAACGATGATATTTGTGGTGAGGACGTAGAAGAGGTTTTTTCTTCTGATGACTCTTCCATGAAGACCATATTTGTACAAGTATCTCTTTATAGTGGAATAGTGTACCACAACCCCAGTGTCTGCCAGATCTTTCTGGAGGGATCGTGCAGTTAAATGTGGGTTTTGAATTGTTTTTCTCACAATCCTGCGAGCTGTTCTGTCTGATATTTTTCTTGGTCTTCCAGATCTTGCTTTAACTTCCACTGTTCCTGATGACTGCCATTTCTTAATTACATTCCGAACAGAGGATATTGACATCTGAAAATGCTTTGCTATCTTCTTATAGCCTTCTCCAGCTTTGTGAGCGTCAACTATTTTCAGTTTCAGTTTTCTAGACAACTGCTTAGAAGAACCCATGGTGCTGATTGTTGGGGCAAGGTCAGATGAGTCTGGGCATTTAAAACCTTTGAGATTGACATCACTTGGTCTTCCCAGATGATGATTGAGAACAATCCATGACACTGGCAGGTCTAAGCTTTGCAAAGGGGGCAGTGCATGCTATAAATTCTGCAGGGTGCCCAAACGTTTGCAGACGTCATTTTTTTTGTTTTCTGTTATTTTGAAAGTGTAAATGATGGAAATAAAATCTAACTTTTGTTGACATATTATAAGAATGTCTAATCTGTAATTTGATGCCTTTTGGAGATTTTTCCATCTTTCCTTGGCTTCTTTATGAACATTAATACAAATTTTTAGCTGGGGTGCCCAAACTTTCGATCCCCACTGTATATATATATATATATATATATATATATATATATATATATATATATATATATATATATACACATACATACATACATACACACACACGTGTCCCAAATTACATCGCCAATCTTGTCTTCAAATATCACCCAAACTGTCCTCTCCGCTTCTCGCACTACCTCCTGCTCTCTAGCTCCCTTGCCCCCTCCTCCCATGCTTGTCTCCAGGACTTCTCCAGAGCCTCCTCCATCCTCTGGAACTTTCTACCCCAATTTATCAGACTATCTTTGACTCTATTCACTTTTAGGCAATCTCTGAAAACCTCTCTCTAACCTCTCCTGCCTTCATCTAATAATGGAATCTTCTATTCCTCCTACCAGTCCATCCCCCACAGTTATTACCTTTTGTACCACTAGCCCCTCCCTCTTCGATTGTCAGCTCCAAGGATCAGGGCCCTCCTATCCCCCTTGTATTGACCTATATTGTTGCTGTATTGTCTCCCGTTATATTGTAAAGTGCTGAGCAAACTGTTGGCGCTATATAAATCCTGTATAATAATAATAAAAATAATATGTGATTTTGCGCACCCGTGCCGCCCTGTAGCAGTATTTCTGCTATAGGGCGGTGCGGAAGCAGTTAATGTCAAGCTGGGATAATTTCCACTGTATTAGAGCGATACAAGACGGGTGCTTTTATTATCATGCCAACAATACCTCCATTCCGGCCTTTCCCTTTACAAGTATATAGGATGGCCCCATGCAGTGGCGTCCCATGGCAGGTGCAGGGGGTGCGCGCCGCGCCGGGTGACGCCTACCGCACGGGGTGACACCAGACCCGCTCCACGAAAAGGTAAGTTGTAAAGCAAGCCAACGATCCCCGCAGGATGGATATGATCCTGCAGGGATCGTCGGCTTGCTTTACAACTTAACGTTTTGTGGAGCGGGTCCGGTGTCACCCCGTATAGGTTGCATGCCGACAATCCCCGCAGGCTGGATGGGATCTGCGAATTGGGGAGCATAATGGATCGGACTCCGAATCTGCAGATCCGAACAATCCTGCGGGAATTGTCGGCATGCAACCTATACGGGGTGACACCGGCACCCGCTCCACAAAAAGTTACGTTGTAAAGAAAGCTGACTATCCCCACAGGATGGATCGGATCTGCGGATTGGGGAGCATAGTGGATCGGACTCCGAATGTGCAGATCCGAACCATTCTGCGGGGATTGTCAGCATGCAACCTATACGGGGTGACACCGGACCCGCTCCACAAAACGTTAAGTTGTAAAGAAAGCTGACGATCCCCGCAGGATGGATCGGATCTGCGGATTGGGGAGCATAATGGATCGGGAATCTGCAGATCCGATCCATTATGCGGGGATTGTCAGCATGCAACCGCACAATCCACATCCAGTTGTAAAGAAAGCTGACGATCCTCGCAGGATGGATGGGTCTGCGAAGGGAGCATAATGGATCGGACTCCGAATCTGCAGATCCGAACCATTCTGCGGGGATTGTCAGCATGCAACCTATGTGACACCGGACCAGCTCCACAAAACGTTAAGTTGTAAAGAAACGATCCCCGCAATGGATCGGATCTGCGGATTGGGGAGCATAATGGATCGGAGTCCGATCCATTATGCTCAATCCGCAAATCCCATCCATTCTGCGGGGATCGTCGGACCATGTCACCAAGTGTTATTGCACCAGGTGACACCAACCCTAGGGACACCCTTGGCCCCATGTCCTGTGATAAATTAATACACAAAGCTAACACGCCATATTTAAAAAAAAAAAAAAAAAAAAAAAAAAAAAAAAAAAAAGTGACAGTTATTTTCAGTTGAGTTCAACGAGATTTAAACATTCCAGTCCAGTGGCTAAAAGATCCTTATCCTCGTGTTAAGCTTTGTGATCTAAGCCTCATGTCTGCTATGGATGGCATATGCGACTTTCTGACCCGACTCCGCTTGAGATGACCTTATTCCAACTGAAAACACGTCTCATTTCAGAGAGAAGGGAAGAACAAAAAAAAAAAAAGTAACTTAATCAAATATTATGATTTGTGAGTTTGAACCGCCGGCACTGCATTTGTACCGAAACTATACCTCATTATAATAATGACTGTATTTTGGTTTTTAGATACCTTTGTGAATACGCGTACTACATCTCCCTGTACTATGGAAGTGGCAGAGCCGTGTTTATTCATGTGCCCCAATTAAGCAAAACATTCACAACAGAAAAACTGGGACAAGCTTTGCAAAAGATTATCCAAATGGCGTTGAGACAACGGGGCATACATCAGATCTTCCACAGACATAGTGTAAGGCAATATTAAAAGATATGTCAACCTTCGACCCCTTTTGTTTTATGTCCGATATTTATCATGGTACATATTCTATCCAGAACGGTCAGTATTGACTTTACATTTTCTGCATATTGTTGTTTTTAAGGTAACTGGGGTGTATTTGTAATACACATTTTTAAATTATAATTTTAAATGATTACCTTTAAAGCTCCATTTAACAAGTTCTGTGTTTTACTTTTTTTTTTCTTGTGGTTTCCTGTTTTGATTTATTTTATGTATCTTTTCTAGGAGTCATCTGCATACCATGTGAAAACAAAAGTGCAGCTTCTTAGTCCGTTTTTTACAGCGGCTGTTTTTGGCTTTTATTTATTTATTTCAGGTACTTATATAGCGCCGTCAATTTACGCAGCGCTTTACATATAAATTGTACATTCACATCGTTTTTTTTCTACAGCCAGTAAACCCCCCAGCATGTTATCCTATGGGTCCATGCACACATAGACTGGAATCGTTTTTTTTTTTTGGCTGGAAAACCCCAGGACTAGTGGGTTTCTAGAGGAATTATAAATTATAAAGTCTTTTTCCTTTCCCAAATTATATTAATACATTGAAAAGAATAATCATAAATAAAAAATAAATAATAAAATAAAAATAGATATAAATAAATCTCCTTATCCAAATGTCCACAGGTGCAATTCCAAAAAACTATAGTCCTCTTTTTTTCTTTCAAGAAAATATCTCTCTTATTTTCAATCTTCAAGTAATGTCCAAATATTCATATACCTCAAAAACCAAAAAAAAATCAACATAGTGTATTATCCTTATATCAAAAGGAAAATCGTGCCATACATAGTGAGTCACATCAAACACTAAAATTGTGCATGTGAAAAAGAGAAAAAAAAAAAAAGGGTGTGTGTATATATATATATATATATATATATATATATAGATATATATATATTTATATATCTATATCTATATATATATATATATATATATATATATATATATATATATATATACACACACACACACATATATAAAAATCTCCAAGTGTGAAAAACACTCTGTGAGCACTACAACCAACAATAGTGATCCACTCAAGTGACAAGTGCTATCATACTCTGTGATAACTTGGTGTTATTATTTAACCCACTGCACAAAACAAACAGCACTCCAACTTGTGTAGTAGTGGATTTTTTTTTTTTTTTTTTTTTTTGAGGTATATGAATATTCGGACATTACCTGGAGAAAAAGACACTCATCTTCACAGCTCCGGACATCACCAGGAACAAGAGTCAGGCTCTACATACACCATCAAGCAGCTCATAGCCTCTCTCGGATCCCACCTGGTCCCCATAGCGCGCGCGTCCCTTCTTTCATCCCTTCTTCTGGGGGGAGGTGCTGCCCCCCTGAAAACTGCCGCCCTAGGCAAGTGCCCTGTTTGCCTTGTGGTAAATACGCCCGATTCCAGCTAGTTCTAAGTGGGGCTTAAACAAAGACTGTGAGCATCAGTGTGATTCCTACATGAAGTCATTATTTAATAAGTTAACCACTTCCAGTCCGGACACTTTCACCCCCTTCCTGTCCAGGCCAATTTTCAGCTTTCAGCGCTATCACACTTTAAATGACAATTGCGCGGTCATGCAACACTGTACCCATATGAATTTTTTTTGCTTTTTTTGAGACTCATAAAACTTTATTTTGGTGGTATTTATTCACCACTGGGATTTTTATTTTTTTGCTATATAAATTAAAAAGTCCAAATTATTTTGAAAAAAAAAGTGCTTTTCTTATAAAATTTTGCAAATAAATAATCTTTCTTCATAAATCTTGGCCAAAACGTATTCAGCTATCTTTTTAGCAAAAAAACAAAATTAGTTGATAACCAAAAATAATTTTTCAAAGTTTTTTTTTACATTTTTTTTATATTAATTTTTTTTTCTTTTTAAACATACTGTCACCCTAGCAGTACACTGTACTACTTGTGGGAGGTGATGAAGATTTTTTTTTTTCACACTGATTGCTTTTACACCCATAAAGGCTGTAAAAGCAATCATTTCTCCTTCTTTCTGACTGCATTCCTGCAGCCATTGAGAAATACTGTGAGAGCTGTGATTGGTCACAGCTTGTCACATGGTACAAGGCTGTTGTGAATAGCCTTGCGCCATGTGACCTCTGTGATCAGTCACAGATTTCACTAGTAGTAAGCAATCATGTCTGGAAGTGATCACATGAATCGGGACCTCACACAGAGGACCCGTACAGTGATCGGTGTTCCGGAGGACACATCGGGCACTGTATCTCAGTGCTGCGCTCTCCCAGGAAGCACGCACAGGCAGTGCATGCGGGTGACATTTAGAAACGTCAACCCGCTCCCTTCCGGCCATTTATGTACACGAGCCAGACGGGAAGTAGTTAAAAAGATTCCTACCGAGGTGAAAGACTGAGGGGTCCTTCAAAGGTTAGTACCAATTGTCCAAGAATTCACTATCCAGGGCAGAAACTTCCTCACGTGATAAGGAGGCAGCAAAGATGGCATAAAATTGTCCCGGTTTTCACACTGGAAGTCTCCCGGAAAGAGGTACCAGTAAAACGTTTATGGTAAGAGTAGCCATAGAATAGTCTGTATCTGGAAGGGTACATTGAACTGAATAGGAATGGCCCAGCTTACAGCATTAGTGTGGACACAAGATCAAGTATGTCAGATTCCATAATGGACCAATGGAAAACATATTCCACAGGAGCATGGTGAATATGAACCGGAGTAAGAAATAGGTTCCTCAGGCACATGTATGAGAGAAGTGCCAGTTGGGGCATATGATACTGGAGAAGTAACAGTTGAAATTGTGGATGTCTACTGGAAGATGGTCTTATTAATTGAGCCAGATGTGGAGATTAGAAGCTTGGTAGCTCCAGCAGAGCCAGCCAGTGAAGCCAAACTTACAGTCAGCGGCCTCTTTATTAGGTACACCTATTCAATTGCTTGGTAACAAAATTGTTAAATCAGCCAATCACATGGCAGCAACTCAATGAATTTAGGCATCTAGACCTGGTGAAGACATCTTGCTGAAGTTCAAACTGAGCATCAGAATGGGGAAGAAAGGGGATTTAAATGGCTTTGAATGTGCCATGGTTTTTGGTGCCAGATGGGCTGAGTATTTAAAAAAAAAAAACTGCTGATCTACTGGGATTTTCACGCACAACCATCTCTAGGGTTTACAGAGAATGGTCTGAAAAAGAGAAAATATCCAGTGAGCGGCAGTTGTGTGGATGAAAATACCTTGTTGATGTCAGAGGAGAATGGGCAGACTGGTTGCTGCGACATTCAGATGGTAGGGTCAGAATTTGGTGTAAACAACATGAAAGCATGGATCCATCCAGCCTTGTATCAAAGGGTTCAGGCTGGTGGTGTCATGGTGTGGTGGATCCATCCTGCCTTGCATCAATGGTTCAGGCTGGTGGTGTCATGGTGTGGTGGATCCATCCTGCCTTGCATCAATGGTTCAGGCTGGTGGTGTCATGGTGTGGTGGATCCATCCTGCCTTGCATCAATGGTTCAGGCTGGTGGTGTCATGGTGTGGTGGATCCATCCTGCCTTGTATCAATGGTTCAGGCTGGTGGTGGTGTCATGGTGTGGTGGATCCATCCTGCCTTGCATCAATGGTTTAGGCTGGTGGTGTCATGGTGTGGTGGATCCATCCTGCCTTGCATCAATGGTTCAGGCTGGTGGTGGTGTAGTAGATATTTTCTTGGCACTAACAAGGTGTACCTAATAAAGTGGGTGGTGAGTGTATATAAATAAGGTTCCCAAAGCTTTGGATTCTTGAGGGGAACTGACAAATCATCCACAAGAACTGAAAGGGGACCACGACACAAGGTCCCCTGCTATGGCAGGATTGTCTAAAAGTCTCTCAAAAGACAATGTACATGTGTTGTTGTGAAATAAACAAGGCCTTGCGCACTCACAAACAAGTGACAAACTGAGATGAGTGGCCAGAGGTGACTGAAGGCAGACAGTTCATCAGACTGGAGAATCCATGTGGCGCATGTAGTAGGGACAGCGGCAACACCAATCTTTGCAGGCTTGTTCCGGCCAACGTTTGCCCCTGCTGGGAATTGCTGTCAAGGGAGGCTTTGGGGACTGGAACACATCAGAAGTGGAGACACAGTCCTCAACCTGTAAATGTGCCAACAAGGCCAGTACATTGGGTGTCCGGTGAGCACCCTAAGCGGAGATCAGTGGTCACATTACAAACAAGTCCCACAAGCCGCAGTTCTGCGAAGTCCAGGAACAACTTCCAAGATTGCACCAAGGATCAGCCGGTCTGGATAGCTGCTGGATGGAGACTAGCTCAAGGTGGTTATAGAAGTCTTGATTGCAGAACAACCACCATCTACAAATTAGAATCATATATATATATATATATATATATACACACACACATCATTTTGCATTTCTGGGAGGGTCACTAACTGACTTCGCTAGTGACACTAATACAGTGATAATTCTGTACAGACACTGTACTAACACTGGCTAGGAAGGGGTTAACATCTATGGGCAATCAAAGGGACAACTGTGCCTAAGGATGTGTAATGTGCGCTGCTTTTACTTTCTAATCTGGCTGTTTGTAACCTCTTCCTGACCACCCTATAGTGATATACTGCTACAGGGCGGCACGGGTGCGCTAAATCACGTATATAGACGTGATTGTGCATTTCCGGTTAGGGGGTGCACGCTCCCTACCTGCACCGCTATTTGTGGCCGCGGCTGTCAATCATCGGGTCCCAGCCGGAGATTACTCGCCGGTGCCCAGTGATTGCCGAGCATGTCCGATGGGGAGAACAGTATGTAAAACAATACAGTTCTCCCTGTCAGCTCGTGCACACTGCTTTGGATGGCTGTGCACAGCCATCCAAAGCAGTGTGATTACAGTGAAGCACAGACACACGTAAAACAGCACAGTTAACCCCTTTGATCGCCCCTCATATTAATCCCTTCCTGCCTAGTTCCATTAGTACAGTGTTAGCACTTTTTTTTTTTAGCACTGATCACTGTATTGGTGTCACTGGGGATGTCAGTGACACCAAGTCAGTTCCCCCCCAGGGTCAGAATGCCCGCCGCAGTCCCGCTATAAGTCGCTGATCGCCGCCATTACTAGTAAAAATAAAAATTCCAGTATATATACTGCCATTTGTAGAAGCTAAAACTTTCACGTAAACCATTTAATTTACATTTATTGGGGTTTTTATTCTTAGCAAAGACATGGAGCAGAATACATTTTGGCCTGAATTTGACGAAATTTGATTTTTAAATTTTTTTTACTGGACATGTTTAATAGCAAAATGTCAAAAATATTGTTTTATTTTCTCAAAATTTTTTTTTCTATATAATGCGAAAAAAAAAAAAAAAAACACGCACAGGCAATCAAATACCGAAAGAAAGCTCTATTTTGTGCGAAAAAAAGGACCTAAATTTCATTTGGGTGCGGCATTGCATGACCGCGCAATTTTCAGTTAAAGTCACACAGCGCCGTAACGCAAAAAATGGCCTGGTCAGGAAGGGGGGTAAATCCTCAGGAGGGCAAGTGGTTAAACAGTCAAATCGCTGTTCCTATGCACACAGTGTTCTGTGGGTTTGTAAACACAGAACTCTGTGTGTGATTAGACACAGCCAGGGGCGGACTGACAACTCATTGGGCCCCCGGGCAATAGGGGATCATGGGGCCCCTGTGCCCTTGCTCAAACTCAAAAAAGCCTATGAAAAAGGTACCAGGGGCATCTCATGGGGCCCCCTACTGACGGCGGTGCCCGAGTTTTCAAATGGTCAGTCCGCCCCTGGGAGCAGCTGATCAGCAGGTTTCAGCTGAAATCATTGGCTGAAATCTGCTGCCAGACTTGTGCAGCGTCCAATCAGTGTAAATTTACTGTGAGCGGTGTGTGGGTGGTTAAGAGACAGCACTGCCATTAGGATCTGGTTAACATATATTAGAACTGATTGGTCATTAAAGGCCTCAAAAAAGCTGTTTGGACTTTTTTTGACCTCCCCCCCAAAAACATTTTTTTTGGTGAAAACCCCCCCCAAAAAACACGAAAATGCGGCTAAACACTAATGCAAAAACGCTGAAAAAACCCATGTTTTTAACATGACTTTACACAGCTAATGTTACCAGCGTTATCAAAAGGTCCTGTCTGCATGGAGACTAATGCAGGCCATACATGGTTCGAATTCCGAACGGTTTTTCATCCGAAAAGCGAAACATTCGTTCTGTAATCCGATGGTGCCACCAATGATTTCTAAAATCGGTCATTTTCCACGAATCTTCCAGCAAGCCCGATAAACGAAATGGGGGAGGAACCACAAAAATTGGCCGATGCCATTGCCCCACTAACAGCGAAAATCGGCCGATTATTCTTAGGTCCGATTTTCGTACGAAAATCGTTTGGAATTCGAACCATGTATGGCCAGCTTTAAGAATTTGAAGATTGTGTGTGCTCGGTCTTTAGGGGTTATTAATACTTACAACTGGGGCTGATAAAAAATAGGTGGTTGAGCTGCGATTTTCCCGCCTCTCCAGAGGCGGACTGACCATTTGGAAACTCGGGCACTGCCCGAGGGCCCGGGGTCAGTAGGGGGTCCCATGAGATGTCCCTGGTACCTTTTTCATAGGCTTGAGTTTAGGCAAGGACACAGGGGCCCCATGATCAACTATTGCCCGGGGGCCCCATGAGTTGTCAGTCCGCCCCTCTGCCTCCCCTTATGTTGCTGGGCAGGGCACATACCACACCGCCATACCAAAGCAAATAAACCCTCAACAATGGTGGTTTCTGTACTTCCTGAAAGGCACCCTTTTATTAAAAAGATACATCTCTATATGTAGACTTGCAAAACAAATGAGTATTGGGTATTCCAAAACAAAAGCTCGATCCATACTGACAGCTTTCTATGTTCTATCAGTTCCTGTACTAAGCTTGCCGTATGCTTACACAGGTGTTCACATATCAATTGTGGTCAGCAGTTGTCCTACTGCAGAATAAATTTGGGGCCAATCACACGCCTCCCTGAGGGTATGGCATGATGGTCAAGTATGCGCCTGTATTACTCAGCATTGAGGACTCCATTGATCCTGACCAAATCTCCAACTCCACTTGCAGAAATGCAGCCCAAAACTTGCAAGGAACCTCCACCATGCTTCACAGTTGCCTGCAGACGCTCATTATTATACCATGCTCCAGCCCTTTGGCAAACAAACTGCCTCCTGCTACAGCCAAATATATAATTTTGATTCATCAGTCCAGAGCACCTGTTTTTCTGCACCCGTTCCTCTGTTTTAGTGCATTTTGAGTCGCTTAGCCCTGCTTCCATGTCAGGCGTTATGGCTTTTTGGATGCAATTCTTCCACAAAGAACACTTCTCATGACAGTAGATGGGCAATCCTGGATCCCACCAGTTCTGTGCTGATGGCACTGCTGGACATCTTCCGATCTCGAAGGGAAGCATTATTATTATTATACAGTATTTTTAAAGCGCCGATAGTTCGCTCAGCGCTGTACATTACAAAGGGGGACAGAACATGTGACAGAACAATACCATTACAATGCAAAACATGAGGGGATCGAGGGCCCTGCTCCTTGGAGCTTACAATCTAGGAGGGAGGGGATGGTGGTACAGGAGGATATAGCTGTGGGGGATGGAGTGGTAGGAAGAGTGGAGGAGGTTGGCAAGTTAGCAGGGGGTGGGGTAGGCTTCCCTGAAGAGATGGGTTTTCAGGGTGCGCCTAAAGGAGAGGAGAGTAGGTGATAATCTGATGGGTTGGGGCAGGGAGTTCCAGAGGATGGGTGACACCCTGGAGAAGTCCTGGAGGCGGGCATGGGAGGAGGAGACCAGGGAACTAGAGAGAAGGAGGTCTTGTGAGGAGCGGAGTGTGCGTGCTGGGCGGTACTTGGATATTAGGTCGGTGATGTAGTTCGGGGCAGTATGGTGGACAGCTTTGTACGTCAGTGTTAGGATTTTGAATTTGATCCGTTGCGCAATTGGAAGCCAGTGGAGGGATTGGCAGAGGGGGGTGGCGGAGATGGAGCGGTTGGAAAGGTGAATGAGTCTGGCAGCCGTATTCAGGATGGACTGAAGTGGGGATAGCCAGCGGCGAGGCAGGCCAGTGAGGAGGGAGTTGCAGTAGTCGAGTCGTGATATGATGAGGGAGTGGATGAGCTGTTTAGTGGTTTCTGGGGTTAGGAACGTGCGGATTTTGGCGATGCTGCGGAGGTGGAGTCTGCACGAGTTTGTTAAAGATTGGACTTGGGGCTGGAAGGATAGGTTGGAGTCCAAAATGACACCAAGTACTCTGGCCTGCGGGGCGGGTTTGATGGTGGCGTTGTTGGATGTGATGGAGAAGTCAATGGGGGGGGGGTGTCCGGGCTGGGGGAAGACAAGAAACTCGGTCTTGGAGAGGTTCAGTTTAAGGAAGTGGAGCGACATCCAGTCAGATATGTCGCTCATGTGCGTTTCATCTGCTGCATTAGGTTCCTTGGCTGACCACTAGGTCTGCGGTCCTCAACATTGCCCTGGTCAATGGTGTCCTCAGTGCTGAGAAATACAGGTGGATACTTCTCCATCATGCTATATCAAGGAGGCGTGTAATTGGCCCATACAGCCAATGTCATTAACCACTTCCAGTCCGGACACTTTTACCCCCTTCCTGCCCAGGACAATTTTCAGCTTTCAGCGCTGTCACACTTTGAATGACAATTGCGCAATCATGCAACACTGTACCCATATGAATTTTTTAGCATTTTTTTGAGACAGATAAAGCTTTATTTTGGTGGTATTTATTTACCACTGGGATTTTTATTTTTTTTTGCTTTGTAAATGAAAAAGTCCCAAAATTTTGAAAAAAAGTGTTTTTCTAATAAAAGTTTGCAAATAAATAATATTTCATCATAAATCTTCGCCAAAATTTATTCCGTTATCTTTTTAGTAAGAAAAAAATAACTCAAATTAGTTTATAACCAAAAATAATTTTAAACTTTTTTTTTTTTTTTTACATACGGTCACCCTAGCAGTACAGTGTCACTATGGTGACACTGTACTACTTGTGGGGGGTGATGAAGATTTTTTTTTTTTTTTTTTACACAGATTGCTTTTACACCCATAAAGGCTGTAAAAGCAATCATTTCTCCTTCTCTCTGGCTGCATTCCTGCAGCCATTGAGAACTACTGTGTGAGCTGTGATTGGTCACAGCTTGTCACATGGTACAATGCTGTTGTGAATAGCAGTGATCATCTGTGATTATTCACAGATTTCACACGTAGTAAGCAATGATGTCAGAAGTGACATCTTGCTTACTACTCTGCATGTGATCACCGATTGGCCACATGATCGCACAGAGGTTCCGTACGACGATCGGTGTTCTACTGTGTCCGCGAGGACACAGCGGCACCGGATCGCAGTGCTGCGTGCTTCCAGGGAGTGCGCACAGGCAGGGGGTGGGGAGGCCATTTATAAACGTACACCCGCCCCTGCACTGCTCCCGTCCGGCCGTTTATATACAACGGCCAGAGGGGAGGTGGTTAAGAACTATCTTCAGTGTAAAGAGTCCTGGAAGTGACGGTTTGATGCCCACAGAGCCCTGATCTTAACATTCAGTCTGCCTAGGAGGACATGAAGATACAGAAGGATTGGAGGCAGCCAACATCTACAGAAGATCTATGTTTAGTTCTCTGGGATGTTCGGAACAACCTACCTGCCGAATTCCTTCAAAAACTGCGTGCCAGTCTACCTAGATTTGATGCTGCTTTGAAGGCAAAAGTGTGGTCATACCAAAAAATGAATAGATTAATTTTTTTTTTCTATTCGTTCACTGTGCATTTTGTAAATTGATAAATATAATCAATTAAAATATATATTTTTGAAAGCATTCTTACTTTACAGCATTTTCACCTTCCTAAATCTTTAGCAGAGTACTATATACAGGCGTACCTCGGTTTACGACCGTCTCAATTAACGTAATTTTTGGTTTACGAATAAAAATCCATTGAAAATATGGCTCGGTTTACAATTTTTTTTTCCCAATATAAACGGATTAATTGGTTTTCAATACATTTATGAATTTTTTTTTTTAATCATGTCCCTGTACAGTACTATGCCTTTAAAGTGCACTTTATAAAGAGTTTTGAACAGATAAAACTTTTTCTGACCTCCGGAACGGATTGTTTTTCAATGCATTTACAAATTTTTTTTAATCATGTCCTTTATGCCTTTAACCTCCCTAGCGGTCTGATTATGTCCATATTTCTGTGCTCAAAGCGGTACATTTTTTTGCATGGAAATATGTATTTTTTTTTATTGTAGGCCTGTAATTTTTAGGAATAACTCACTGAAATCTGTCAGAACAAGAGTCTAGTAAACATCCCGGGTATGATAAAATTTGAAACACGAAATCATAAATTATAATATAACAATCATAAAAAATAAAATAAATTTAATTCAATAATGTAATCAAACCAAAAACACTGAAATTTTAAATATATCACCAAGTTCGCACATCACTGACAAAGTTGCAGAATCGTTTTCAGTGTCTGATGATGAATTTCCCCCACGAATCATTATCACTCAATTCTGCAAGTGGTTCTGATTTACTATCGCTGTTCTCTAGCTGGTCAAAAACCGCTTTTGTCCTAAAGGGACGCTTTTTGGACGCCATGGACGTTTCTCAGTTTCCAGGCAGAAAGAACAGTAAAAATGCAGGCAGGGCGCCGGACAAAGCACTCGGGACAAAATGTATGTGAAATGGTTTGATACAGGAATGTCATACTATGTGATTTTAGTGTATTTAGTGAATTATTATTATACAGTATTTATATAGCGCCAAAAGGGTATGCTCAGCGCTGTACAGTAGCAGGGGGGACAGAACATGAGACAAGACAGTAACAATACACTACATGAGGGGTTCGAGGGCCCTGCTCTTTTGAGCTTACAATGTCACGCTTTCACATTTTTAAATTTCCCGCCAGTTCCATCCCCGTACGTCCAGACGTCGCAGGGAACGGAACCCAGAATCGGCCGGAGGACATTACAGGGGACACTGAAGGAGGGACATCGCGGGAGCGCAGGACAAGGTAAGTGAAGAAGAGATCCCGGAGCAACACTGCAGTGTATTCCCGAGTGTAGCTCGGGGTTACCGCTTGTGGTACTGAAACTTTACCCCGAGCTACACTCGGGAATACCGCCAGGGGGGTTAAAGTGTACTTTATAAAGAGTTTTGAACAGATAAAAGACTTTTTCATTTTTTTTCTGACCTCAAGAACGGATTAATTGGTTTTCAGTGCATTCCTATGGGAAACCACCTTTCGGTTTACAAATTTTTCGCAATACGAAAAGTCCCGCAGAACGAATTAAATTCATAAACCGAGGTACACCTGTATATCATTCTGTATATTATCATGTAATATCTTTACGAATTGTAATAGAGCTGAAGTATACATGTATGACAGACGTGCACAATTTACAGAATGTAGAACAAAAAAAACAGTAAGCCAAACATGCATACAGAATTCTTTTATTTAACTTAAATCTTGTAGTACTGGAACTACTAGAAAAAAAGCAGAGTAAGAGAAACTAAAACTGCCTTAGGTTCAGCCATTCAAAATAGACAAAATTTCTTTTTTTTTCAATAATGTAAAGAATTCAGAGTATATAGCAAGAACAGGAATAAATTCTTACAACAGAATATACAAAAAACATGTTGAAAATTTTTTTCTTATCTACCGATTCATTTTTAATATAAACACAGGAATATTTTTATGAATAATTTACACACAGCATGTAATTTTTAATGTAACAAATTGACCATGTTATTTTTTCTATTTTTTATTTTCTTAAACAAGAAAAAAACTTGGAAAAGATTTTTTTTTTTTTAATCATTTATATTATTTTATTATTAGCAATGCATCAATTTCATAACTTTTTTTTTTTTTGTTTTTTTTGTTTTTTTAAGTTTTATGTTTTTTTGTCCCAGAGGTAGTGAAAATCTCTGGCCAGTACTTATCTTTCTGAAGCCTTACTGGATTGGAAAACAGAAAAGATGAAAAGAAAAAAAAAAATATATATATGATTTGAAACCACTGAGGAAAAGCAGCCGATGGTGGATGTTTAAACCAGTTTGCCCCCCTGAAAGATCTGCAAACGTTACACAGAGCCTTGATCCTGGTTAGTAGAGAATTGCTGATCCAACAGCCGCCGTGTTAAAGCGGCATCGGAATCACTTCTTAAATTTGACAAAAAGGTCCAACATCACTCCACATTCTCTACCATGGGATGCGTTCTGATACCGATAAGAACAATATGAAGGTCTATGCAAACCACACTAGAGACTTAAAATGTATTCCCCTCACTATTCTGCTGCCATCCAGTGAAGGCTTAAATATCCATTGTGTTAACTGTCATGTACAGTAAAAGTGAAATGACCAGTATAGATCTTCCCAATGCAACCAGAGGGTTATGTATAAAAAAAAAAAAAAAAAAAAAAAAAAAAAGGTACAGAACTGTTTTTAGCACTAAAGTGAGACTCGGTGGGCCGCTGTTTGCCCATGTTTAAGCTGGGCTACTTTTTTTTTTTTTTTTTTGCATTTCATGTAGCAACAACGCCACTGCTCATGTTATGTACACACACATGGACATAGACCCTGTCCTTCAAAATAAAGGTTTTTTGTTTTTTTTTCTCTTAAACAATACTCATTCCACTCAAAAAAAAAAACACCACACGTCTAATAAACTACATATTAGAAATTCAACTGTAATTAAAGAAAAAATGCAGTGAGGCGCAGAAACGTCTCTTGTAAACCAAACATACTTAAATAAATATCTACTACCCGTAATCTACTGGACTTGACAGCCCTGCTGAAAGCTGCGGTTTGATAAATAAGCTGATTACTGCCTTTTGTTGGCAAACAGATTAACTTTTTTTTTTTTTTTGCAAAAGCCATATAAATTAATTTTAGAAAGACAAGTGCTAAGTTTGGACTAACCGGTTTGGCATTAGTGTAATATCAAAGTGGGGGGGGGGGGGGGGGGAAGGCATACTTGTGGTTGGGTTGTATAGCAGAACATTACTGATCTCACTTTCGTAAGGGGGAAGGTCAACTAACTGGCCCTACTCTTCGCTTACATGAGCAGAGTGTACATTCGCCCTCCAATCTGTAGTGTCACATACTCTAAGGTAGGGTTTCTTGACCAGGGTTCCTCCAGAGGTTTCTACGGGTTTGGAGTTAGGAGAAATTTCTCCCTCTAAGATCCCACGGTCACCATGGATCCTTTTAACTATCAGTAAGGAGGGAATTTTTTTCCCCAATGACCAGAAGTGTAAGGAGAATTTTTCCCCCAATGACCTAAGGTAGGGTTTCTCGACCAGGGTTCCTCCAGAGGTTTCTACAGGTTTAGAGTTTTGTTCCCTCTAAGATCCCACTGACACCATGGATCCTTTTAACCATCTGTAAGGGGGGAATTTTTCTCCAATAACCACAAAAGTGTAAGGAGAATTTTTCCCCAATGACCACAAGTGTAAGGAGAATTTGTCCCCAATGACCACAAGTCTAAGGAGAATTTGTCCCCAATGACCTAAGGTAGGGTTTCTCGACCAGGGTTCCTCCAGAGGTTTCTACGGGTTTAGAGTGTTGTTTCTCCCTCTAAGATCCCACTGACACCATGGATCCTTTTAACCATCTGTAAGGGGGGAATTTTCTCCAATAACCACAAAAGTGTAAGGAGACTTTTTTCCCAATGACCACAAGTGTAAGGAGCATTTTGCCCCAATGACCACAAGTGTAAGGAAAAATTTTCCCCAATGACCACAAGTGTAAGGAGAATTTTTCCCCAATGACCTAAGGTAGGGTTTCTTGACCAGGGTTCCTCCAGAGGTTTCTATGGGTTTGGAGTTTTGTTTCTCCCTCTAAGATCCCACTGACACCATGGATCCTTTTAACTGTCTGTAAGGGGGGAATTTTTCCCCAATGACCACAAGTGTAAGGAGAATTTTTTTCCCCAATGACCGCAAGTGTAAGGATAATTCTTCCTACTGACCACTATGTTGCATCATGAGCTGTAGATACAGTAATTTTTAGCAGGGGTTCATTGAGATTGGACAGTTATTTCAAGGACTCCTCAGTGTTGAAAAGGTTGAGAAAAGCTGCTGAGGAATTAAATGAAACCTGTACTGAGATCAACAGACAGCCATACAACTAGAATGTTGAGGAGCATGGGCAGTCTGTTGCTTTTGGTGATCTGAAACAGATCAAAGAATGGGAAGTCGGCACACCTGACGTGCATACTTGTTCAGGGTCAGTGGCTCAGAAAGGAATGAAGCCAATGGGTCAACATGACCACCAACTAGCATATTTTGTTTTTTGCAGGACAGGGCAGTCGCCATATTTCTTTCAACACAGGTCCCCTTTAAATACACTTGGTGCCGTTTTGTTGGGCCTCTTTCACTACAAGCACACAAGTTGTACGTTTCTGGGACCCCTCTCGGTATATTAGTATTGAGAAATCCATCCGAAATGACCCCTTGGGTTACCTTC